ATACAGCATAATTAGCAATATTTTACTATACATTTGGTACGTAACACAGCTCGCAACCTGTTTCATTCATTACCCATATTTTAACAAACAAGTTCATGTCAATTTTATTTGAAATCTCTTATAAAGACCCCAAAATAACAGTTCGCTAACATTAACAATATTCTTTATTTATTTGAACAGCTATCTAGTTTTTTTGTACATATTAATACCAATAATAGATTGTAGTTATATTTAAAAACTTATTATTGATTTTCTTAATGTGAATGCACGGGGAATATAATCTAGATACTTTCAAAGTACGATACAAAGTTATCCGTCGACCACAGTCGAGACCACTGAGCGACAGCAATTTTCTGATTACGTGCAATTTCAGCAATTCTTTGGGAAACACGCGCTATTCCAGTCACTTAGTCATGCCCTAGGTGAGTATTTTTCTACTTTATGATAAGAAATTGATGATAAGGAAACCATATTTACATGTAGGTACATCTTATTTGGTACATCACATCGAATAGCTTCAAATATAAGTTAACCAGCATTTTTCTTACGTTATTCTTGTTGGCTCTAGCTTTTAAATGTATTAAGGAGTGACGGATTTAGTTAGGGAATGACGTTAAATATATTGTAGTATTAAAAAATATCTAAAACAAACGTAGAAACTTGATGTAAGACAACGGTAAAGTAATAAAGGGTTTAATGTTATTTATATATTTATAGTATTACTATTTAGTTATAGTACTAGTATTATATATATATATATATATATATATATATATATATATATATATATATATATATATACTAGTACTATAACTAAATAGTATATATATATAATGATTAATAAAATGCATAATCCTTAATTTTACGATTGGCTTTTTAATTTTGAGGTTAGACAACGAAAAGATAAATGAGATAAAGGTTTTACTGTTCGTACTTATAACAAACGAACCAAAATTTTCTAAAGAGGAAATACTGAGTAAGAAATAGTCACCGAAAAGGCTCGTTTGGAAAAAAAATAAGAAAGGCCATCAAGTGATTCTGGCAGAGTATAAAGAAAAACTAAATATTTCAAAAATAATAAGAAGGGATAACGTAATCTATTGAGAATATGTCCCAACGCCACGGAAAATTCAGAAAACAGCAGAGGAAGTATTTAAACAATAACATTAGAAATTGTTGTGAAATTATGTAGCTCAGAATATGCCAACTACTTACATCTAAAAAAAGAAAAAGAGACACGTCCATGGGATTAAAAAAGTGGATTTATTAGCTGAAAATGTTTATTAATGCATTTTTTTTTAGATTATGAATTAATATTAAAAACTATTTATAAATATAATGTTTAATTCGCGACTACTCAAAAAGAACACGAAGCTCACAATGTATAAATCCTTGCTGCGGCCTGTCCCTACGTACCTACGCCTCTGAAACCTGGGCATTAAGCAAAAGAGACGAACGAGCATTCCGAATTTTCGAGCGGAAGATAGTCAGAAGAATCTTTGGCCTCGTCTGCGTTGACGATGTTTGGCGCGTATGATACACTCGGCGTCAAAAAAATCGCACCTTTTGAAATTTTGACTTCAAGCGAATAATATACTCTTAACTTATTTATTGTAACGCCAAATCAACCAATTCATTAAAAGCAACAGACTTAAACAGCCGAGACATGTACACAGAACGAAAAACTTGCATTACTAATTAATAATGTATTCTATACTAATATATAACTGATATATAAAGATGAAGAGTTAGTTTGTTTGAAAGCGCTTATCTCAAGAACTACCGGTTTGAATTGAATAAATATTTTTGAGTTGGTTAGAGCATTTATCGAGAAAGGCTAAAAAACATATCGCTGTGACTAATAGAATTAGAATAGAAAAATTATTCTTCCTTGGAGGTTTCCATTGCGTACGCTGCAAAAACGGTTCAAGATACCCAAAAAATATGTGTGAAAGAATTATTTCTCTTTAAATGATCTAAAAAAAAGTCCGTGACGTTATATGTCTATCTTTTAAGATTAACTTGTAAGAACGACGGGAAGGGACGCGACTGATGTCCTAGGTAACAGTTTAAGTTTATAAGGATAAAGGGGTTTGCAAAATGACCTACTAAGCAAATAGCTAAAGATTATTCCAATATTTCAGTTTAAGGATCCCATAATTTGATTACTAATTTTGTAAAAAAAGTATTAATGAACTATTTTTGATTTATATTTATTTTTAAAAATATAAATGAGATTTCAAACGGATAGACAACTTATTTTATAACAAAATCATTATGGTTTATCCCCTGTCCACCAAAATTGAAAAACTCAAAATTTCTTCTAAAGCGTATGAAGCTGTTCCTTTAAGATAAGCCGTTATATATAATATTTATTACGCAAGCCGTGATTTATATATTAATCACTCTATTATCCGAAACCGCATTAGAAAGGTTGAGGACAAAAAGCACCAAAAGTTGCAGATTTTTGTAGAATGATGCGTGAACGAGACGGTTAATTAAATAAAAATGTTTCTTCTTGTCTACAGACGACAGATTCTGACTTGATTGGTTTATGTTTAATGAATACGTTTCATTTCATACAATATTATAAAGTCTTTTCTTATAAACTAAAATGGATTTAAAACATTCTGAACATATATGTAAATTTATATTGGGAATACTTTTTTCAGACCCCACGCGTGACTTCAAGGTCAATTGTTGTTTAATTAAGTGTATTATGTAAAAAATATTTTTTTATTTATACCGGGAAAACGATGGAGCTGAAGCTATCGAGTACACGCTGGGGGCTAGAGCCAAAAGGCTTATAAAGAAAGCGCAAGTTTGCACGTTGAAATAAAATTAACATAATTATAATTGTGTTAAATATATGTAACAAAGTTAAACTTGTGCTAAAGTAATGATAATGTAACAATATTTTATGTAAAGGACACATTAGTAACTGATAAAAGTAGGGTCGAAGATGGCCATAAGGGAGAGATGGCCCACTAAAATATTTCATAGAAAAATTGGCTAGATGCCACTAGTTAAAGTTCACTTTGCTCTGAGTCGTGCGTGATGAGAGCAAGGGTACGTGCAGTTATTTGGCGGGAAAAATTATAGAAGTAAGTAAAACAACTCTTTATTTAGTGGTATTTGGTCAAGTATAAATATTTTTTAGAGAGTTCATGTGTTAAGTGGTTCTGATATAAGATTCGTATAACAGTGGTTATTTTAGGCTTTGTTTGTATATATGATTGTAAATATTTATTACTTGTGTCATGGTAAAAAAAGGAATTGTGTGAATTTTTACGGGCCGGTTTCGCTGACCCTTTGGTGGTAACTTCAGCTCCATGGGAGATGTCCTTAGAGCCTTAGCTCTAAACAAAATACTAGTTATTATAAAAAAACACAAACAACATTAAATTTTACTATTTAGACAACATTGTATAATTGAATTATTGTTATTATCAAAGCAGGCACACACTTTTGCGTCGGCCATTCATCGAGTAAAATGATTGGAACGTAATGTCCCGAAGCATTCTTGATGAGTCATGGCCATTTTGCAATCACAAGAAAGACGCCATTCTCATTTTGAACGGGGATTATGTTCACCTTGATACTTTATTAGATTTTCGAAGCGAAACACGCACTACGAGGTAAAACTTGTGACTTTGTAAATAGAGAAATCCAACGTCTTAATTTTTTTATTATTACTTTATATAATTTTGCACTTTGAACATAATTATTTAGATGATTCGTCTTAGTTTCCGAGGTACAATTCAGTACATAATACAGTATTATTCAAATAAACCAAAGAATAGAGCTACCGTTTTAGTAACAGCGCTGAATGTAAAAGTACGGCCTAAAATTTTAATTTTACATTTCATTAAGAAATATGATGTATATAGTAAAATATTGTTTGCCCTTGTGGGGCATTGGGCGAATACATTTTTGTGTCTCTTTCACTGATCGGTTTTATTTGTAGGCAAGTAATTGATTAGACACATCAGTGCCCTATTACTAAATAGCGAATTGATTAATTTGTTTCTAGATTTTATAAGGGTATAAAGATGATGTTTTAGAATTTACACGAAATGTTAAATTCTCTTAGTACATAGATAGACCACGTAAAAATCGAATTATTAACTTGGTGCATACATAAATCAATTTGGGACCGCCGCCAGCCACAATTCAATGCAATCCTCTGATAGCAGTAGTACAAATCCAATTTCACTGCACTCCATCACAAAGATGCACATACGAAGGGACGCACTAACACAACATCATGATGTCACTACACTATGTAATCACTGTTTTTGCAATTTCCCACTGCAATCCAAGGTTATCACTGCAATCCTTTGCCGTAGTGGAAGTGGTGGCGTTGGCGGCGGCGGCGGCACCAATATTTGTGCATCCGCTAATACTACGGTCATGCTAAGGACGAGTAACTGGAGGACATAATCCGAACACTGCAAGCACGAAGCGGACTTTTGTGTACCATTCATAAATACGGGACTGTTAGTCAGCTGACATATGCATAACGACTAGCGACGTCCGCCGTCTCCAGGCGGCGTGGTTACCATCTGCTTGCATCATGCGATTTCCCAGTAGAATATTGTTCAATCCCCTTAATTTGTCTTGATACCGGAGAAGATCATTTGGAAATTATGACTTGGAAAATAGCTTTTTACAGTGCTCACTCATAGCTCAGACCACTATTTAGCATGCGTAAAGGATATCTTTTATAAAAGTAAAAAAAATATCGATATTTAATCGTATAATAACGTAGTAATTTCTTAATGTAAAGGCTGTTCGCTTCTCCAATTATTGTTATTTAAAACTAGTGAGAAGCTATAGGTCTACGTATGCTAAGCAGATTTGTTAAATAAATAGCCATCTTCTCTGATATCACGGCAACAGTACTATACATTAAACTAAAGTACAAGATAAAAAATAGAAGCGCTTATCGATTGAGTGACACCGGCAGATGGTGATATGTAGCTTAAAGCGATACTCACGAGAGATGGTATCGCGTGGTGGAGGCCGGCGTCGTGGAATTCACGGAGGATGATGAACCTGAGTAACCAGAGCCGGCAGGTGAGGAGCCGGCGGATGGAGCCCCCGCAGCCGTCGGTATCGCGGCCGGTTCGTAATACTCCGTGGTGAGAGTTCGTTCGTCCAGCACGTGCTCGATGTTATGCGCCTTCGACGCGGACTTGATGTCCATAAAGGCAACAGTGGCACACACACCGCTATTAGAACCCCCACTGGCACCCGTGCTCGCGCCCTCCATTCGACCCAATAACTTGACATTCTGGACTCGGCCATAGCTGCAAAAATATTATTCTTGTAACACCTTCTTGTAAAACTTTGGAAAATATCAATTTATCGTTCTTATAAGTGAAAATGTTATCGTAACTATTAGATATGTTGGCCTTCTTTTATTCTTAATAAATTGTTTCTCAGTCTGTGATTCAGCATAAGCCCCATGTCTCTTAAACGGTAAGACAACCTTCTATATAACTTTCATTAATGGAATATAACAGGAAATATTATGGGAAAGTAAAAAAGCTTTTGTGTACGTTGTGTTGACACTATCATTTTTCTTCTTAATCTAGCGCGATCAACACTTAGGATGGGTTTAATATAAATTTAAGTTTTAACTTTGATCGACGTACTACTGATGTAAAAACTTAGCAATACGTTTAATCTATAGAGATATTAAAAACTTGTTAGAATCATACTTCGTTAAATACCTAGTAGAGGTATCAATTTTTAAATCACACAATTGTGTATTTCAGATACGTGAATAAAATTCCGTCAATTTTCCGCGAGTAAAAGTAGGACCGTTTCCAGGTATATTCAAGAATGATTAAGGTTTTGTGCTTCTTTAAAAATATGTCTTTTGTCGTTCTTTAAAAATATGTCTTATAACTATTTTTTTACGGACCAATATGAAAGAATTAATCTAAATACTTAAAGACTGCTTATTTGTTATAACAGTATTATATGGTAGTAAACATCAGGATATAACGCGATTAGTACTGGTAAATTATGTATGTATTTGAAAATGTATAATCAATGATGATATTATATTTAAAGGGGTTAGGCAACTGGAGGAGCCTACGTAAGCTGTGAGCGTGAGGTCGCTTCGCTATAAACTATAGGCACCTTCTACTTTTTGATTGTCAACTCGTGACTTGACAGTCGAACTGTAGTGTTCACAGCAAAATTACAATAAAGAGCGCCGTTGCCGCTCAGAACGCGTTTATCTTCTGGCATCGTGCGCCGTTGCCTATTCCTCGAACTCGTTTAGTCGGTTTTTTATTTATTGTTGAGCATAATATTTTTTAGCCGTACAATGTTTCAAATTTTCAAACTCGTTCTATTAGTTACCTTTTTTTAAATTGATATATGGATCATAATATTGTTGATGCCGCAATTTAAAAAAGACAAGTGAGTACTTAAGTAGGTACATAGATTCAGAAAAGATAAATTCTCGTTTTTTAAATTTGCTATAGATAATATTCCCTTCTGGATATAAAAAGTTCTAGGCAAATGTTGCATTTTATATTAAATTTTTAAAATCTATTATAAATGCGAATTACGCACACAAAAATACATGAATAATAACGAAATCTAACTACAAAAATGTACAAGTCACTAGCAAAAGTAGCGATACCGCGATGTACCATAGAATGATTAAATCGGTCGATGTCTAGAGCGACGTTGCCGAGTTTACAACATGGCCGCGCCCGTCGAGCCCGTTTCCGTGTGAAACCAACTCAATGCGTCTGTGCCTGTGTGAAGTGCGCCTGTCCATGTGATGATAATAATAATAAAGGCGCTGGTAGAAGTGCGACAACGACCGGCTCGGCCCGGTCGCGACGGCACGAAACGTATCGAACGGCAGGATGCGGAGAAAGAGCGGGGGGAGGGAGCAGGCTCAATGACGTCAGTCTACTTTCTGAATAAAATATTATGTATACAATACCATTATGGCCCTATAGTCTGTTTATGTTATTATATTAAATGGTACCGATTCGTTTAACAAATTTAAATATTGTGCAATACCTGAATTCTAGCTGTTTTGATCACGTTTATTTGTTTTTGGCAGTCTGTATTAATACAAAAAATGGTATCTTCTATACACGTTGCATACTGAGAACTACTACGATACGAACTACATTATATGTTCCCTGCGGATGTTATGACGTTATCAAATAGTAGAAATATCAAAGTCATAAAAATCATGAAATATCGTTAGATACAAAAATGAGATATAAATAGTGTGAATCAATGAGAAGGTATATTTTATATGATTATGAGGAATGCCGCGTACCTACCTATTTAAGATTATCGAGCTATATAATATGAATATACGATCGTGATTAATAATTGAGTCTTAAGGTATGTTTGTTGTTATGTTAACGACTTTTTTAAATAATATAACATCGGCACTGACACACACACAGATGTCGCATGTATCTAAAGGCATACCTACCTTTTTATATTAGTAACAGATAATAACGAACCATATAGAGTAAAATGTACATCTTTAAATTATAACCTACACTGCAAAGCATTGTAAGTATTCTACACGTCCTAACTAGATCGCGTTATTCTTAATCTTAAAAAAAAACAATACCACCCGGGGTCGCATTTAAGTTTTTTACTAAATCAAATATTCAACATAAAAGACGTATATACAATATCCAAAAGCGGTTATATAACAGCTAAAGGGACGAGTTAATTATATAATAGTAGAATAACAACCTGCTCAGTTCATTGACCTCTCAAGTAAAAAATTGTAAGTTTGATAACAAGTATTCCAACTTTCACCAAGAAAACGCTGTGTGTGGGTGGGTGCTTGTACCCGTGAAATTATTTCGGTTTTCAAAATGGCCGCGGTGTAGTAATTAATTTTATTATAAGTGGAATACATGCCTAGGGGTAACATTCTACAGTATTTAAAGAGAGAAACTGTACAACAGTTTTTATGTTTGTTTATCTTTAAAACTAAGCCTTTTTCCACTAATATGCAAAGGACGCGTGTTATAGAAGAATTTAAAGCGTTTCTATTTGTTAATCTATATACTAATATAAAAAGCTAAAGAGTTTGTTTGTTTGTTTGAACGCGCGAAACTCAGGAACTACGGGTTCAAAGTGCAAAATTATTTTTGTGTTGATTAGAGCATTTAACGAGAAAGGCTATAAAGGCTATAAAACATTTGCTGTGACTAATAGAAGCGAAGATACAGTTGGAAATGTGAACAAAACGGGGGAAATCTCTGTGGGGTTTCAGATGCGTACGCTGCGAAAACGGTTCAAGATACCTAAAAAATGTGTATAAAAGAATGATTCCTCCTTAAATGATCTAAGAAAAAGTCCGCGACGCTATATGTCTATCTTTTAAAATGAACTTACAATGAACGACGGGAAGGGATGCGTTAGCGGTCGTGGCTAACACCTTAAGTTTACAAAGATGACGGGGTTTGTAAAAACTAATTTGGATGCCCAAAATAACGATTCTTGCCGACAAAGACGCTGGCACAGCTAGTTTATTAATATGCTACGAAAACTTACACCGTGAAGAAACATCAATATACCATTATTGTTCATTTAACTAGGTGACCCGGCAAACGTTGTTTTGTCATAAATTATTTTGGTAATAACAATGTTTTGGTAGATCATAAAAAATAACTTAATATTGTGAGTGCGTGAGTATTTACATCCATGTAAAAGAAGCAGGGACAGCTATGATTGATACAAATACAAAAGGTTAAAAACTAAAAATTTACATTGATCTCCAATATAAAAAAATATCCTGCAACAGTTGCAACGAACTCACTCAAAACGGTTAAACTGATATGAATAAAATTTTGTATACATTTACCTACATTCACTAGGCGCTCTTTAGTTTCGGAGGCCAAGACCCATTTTGGATCGCTGGACATTCATTAGGCTCGAAAATAGGTTCTACATATTTAATATTAATAAGTGCATTTGTTAAAATATGATTTAAAAGTCGAAAATAAATTGAATAAATTTTCGACTCGGGCAGGACATAAACCGGCATCGTCAGCGTTCCGTGCTGTTGCTCTACCAATTGAGCTACCGAAAAAAATTTCAATTTATTTCCGATTTTTAAATTATATAGTGCCTTCATGTACAATAACATGTAAAAATAATAAAGTTTTTAAACATAAAAATAAATAATTTAAAGGACCCTGTGCCAGGAGCATTCCATATATTAGATAAAAATCCTAACAAAGATTAAATCACCACTAGATATATTTATACGGGTTTTTAGCGACGTATATATGGATTTTATACACGTAGCTAGCTCATAAAACAACTTATTGGCTTGGCTGAACAGATTAAAATATACAACGGCCACAAGGTGCATTTGCCACTATTGTAGAGTATTGATTTAGTATAATAAGTCTGTAGATATAATTAGTGTAGCACTGCGGCCAGTGACATCAGCAGCGAGGATTTGAAACGGCAACCGATTTGCGCACGTTATAAGGGGGACGCGGTAGGGTTTCCTAGCTATGGCCGGGGTACCGTGCGCAGGTCGATAAAGCAAGTTGGGGTGCCGGGGTGGAGCCACAGTGTACGGGGTGGTATTCGCTGTCACCGCGCAAAAGTTGCATAATAAACTTACTGTAATCTAACTACTGCAATTCATACGCACTTTATTTTTATATAAATTTTATTAAACCGTATGGTATTTTATAATTCAGGTAGATAAATAATGTAAGCTTTTTTGTTACGTATTAAACTAAACGCAAAGATTTATCTTTTTTACAAACATTTTACGCGAGTTGCAAAAATTCATGTAGATATGAAGGCTGCTTTTCAATAAGGAAGAAAAAAATGGCGAAAATGAATGAAACTATTATTTGTATAAGAATTATGAAAACAATTTTCGGTCACTCTGCTCTTGTAGATATTTTATTTTTAGACTATGAAAATATAAAAAACTCAAGTTATAAAAATTTCAGTTAGGTTACTTTTACTTTGCCTCCAGCGGCCTCATATTATCTCCTAATAAAAAAGGAGAATAATTTTGACGCAAATAAGAATTATTGGTCTCTTCTTATATAAGGTGATTAAAAGAATAAAGTTGTTTAAAATTGAATATTCTCGGGCGGTAACAGCCGGGGTAAGCTAGCTTTAGGTACTTTAAATTTTGCGTTTACATTTCTTCTCATAAATGTCGACATCAATAAGGATATTTATGAAAAATTTTTAATCAGGTAAAATATAAAGATGCATAAATAGCTGAACTAACACTACGTACAATAAATACGTAGTAAGTATCGAGAGCCAAGTGAGACTAGACCCGAGTCGAATCATCCGACGTGCGACGTTGCCGCGCTTCGCGTCACTGGGCGCCATCGTGCAACAGCCAACACAGCTAGCTACATTTTATGAATACGAAGTCTCAACTCTCAACCTCTAGAGCTCAGATAATTGCCGTAAAGAAATAATCTTGTTAATTGCGTTGCACTTTAGAAAGAAGTATTACAATTAACTTGGTGTAATAAACACCATAAACATAAACATCCTATTTAATAAGTAACTTTTGAAATAAGACGCATAAACAGCTATTATACCTATGTACTTAAACTTCCACCTGAACGTTAACTTCCAAAGTAACAATAATCCTTAAAGCACGTTGACCCAAGAGGAAAACAATAAAATTAACAACATTGTTGTTGGTTTGCAAAACAATAATAATAAAGTGAATGACATAGGGAGTCCAAAAACATCATTATGTCAAAGATAATAAGTTAATAGCAATTATAAATATGTTGCGTAATAGTAATTAGCGAAAGCTACCGTTCCAGATCATCTTTAAAATCAGGCGATTATTAACGTTTGTTAAGGCATTAAATAGTCGTTTAGTATTTTTTTAAAGTTGTTAATTGCCCTTATTTTATAATTCAAACGTGATGTAAATCTAATCATCACTTATCTCAGTAATTTATATTCAATTGGCACAGGAAAATAGGCAATGTTGATACGAAATAAATTAACACGTAATGACAATTTACACTTTTTGACTTACGTGAGAGGGAGTGGGTAAAGTATTAGGGCAGCTAAATTACTCATTTATTAATAATCCTAAGGAAATTTTTAAAGCAAACACCTTGGCAAAATATAATTTATGGCCTATTTAACACTGGGGAGCTGACTGATGAGTTTGCCAATCGAAGTCACGATTGAATAAATCAATAGAGGCGAAATTGATAATACTGCTTTTCTCAATTGCCTATATCAGTAAGTACTTAAAAAACAGAAAACGATTTAAAATAAAATTCGTAGGTACTAACTTACATAGTCGCGGTAGTAAATTAAAGGAGTTCTGGTAAGAAAGCGATAAAATGTTTGCTTTGGTTTTCATAAAACACTTTAAACGCGATATATTTTAGTTAAACTCGTGTCAAGATTATTTTTGTCTCCCCGTGAACACGGCTGCTGCAAAGTATCCGAAGAGTTGGGCCGTAGTTAAAAATAATTTTCATACAAGTTTAACTAATATATATCGCGTTTTAAACTGTTAAAGTGTTTTAATTGAATGTGAAGTGCTCGCGTAAAGTACAGACAGTATGGAATTTCATAGGTGTATGATGATTATGCGCAGTTCATTTTGTACGCACTCACAAATTCTTCAGACTTTTAGGAATAGGATTATTTGCAGATAACATAAATAGGTAAGTTTGGTTAGATAAATATATTAGACGGAAATAGGGCATAAACGGAAAGTTATGCACATACATAAAATTTATGAAAAAGCGAAAGTTCAATAACCCTAAATTAATAATTCGTAGGTATTTGTATTTCGCTCACGACGGCTTGACGGCTACCTACGCTTTTTTAGAGCGCGACATTGCCAACATTTGAGTAACCAACATTTTAAATTGAATGGTAACTGATTAAAGTGGATACAATATTTATGCAGTTCACGTCTTATAATAACTGCTAAAATATTAAGTTGCAATATATCAGGCACGGCAACAATTTCCTTATTATTATTACATTTATGTAAATATTTAACTGGGTGACTTTAGATTAGTAGATTTTCAACGTAAACCTTACACGATTGTAAACGGTAGGATATTCTAATTTCTAACTGAGTATGCAATACCGAGTGAACAGTCAAACCATTAATCGATCCTTAGGATTACTAGGGGTGAAATATAAAAAGCTATATTGTATATATCATTATATTTACCTGTAACAAGTATAAGTGTAGTAATTCTGTCAGATATTTTTACCATTTAACACGTCAATCTTTAAGATGTTGCAAATTTATGATTCGGTATAATTTAATAACCAAACTACATTCTGAAGGCGCAGATTTTATAAGTGCATGTCTGTATGTGTAGGTAGTTGTTGATATAGTAGTCGTACGTGTGGGTAGCTCGGACTACCCACGTGTCATACCCAAAAATTAGCTCCGCAAAATCATGATTCCTCTTTTAACGATCTAGAAAAAGACCGCGACGCTTTATGTCTACCTTTTAAGATGAACGTGCAAGGAAGACGTAAAGGAACGCGATCGACGTCGTGGGTAACAGGTTATAAAGATGAAAGGGTTTTCAAAAACGAATTTGGATGCCCAAAATAACTATTTTCGCGGACGAAGTCGCTGACACAGCTAGTATTAAGAATATAATTGAATCTATACGTACTCTTAACGTAAATACAAACATTCAGAGTACGATTTTATTGTATTACATGTGACATCGAGACTAGACTACAAAATACGAGTTAACGCACGAGGCGTGACAGCAAAATTTTTAAGGATACGTAAATTATTAATAGCTGAAAATATTGAACTTGTTTATTCCATTTCACTTAGAATTTGTGTTGTCATACAGCTATGATCATAGAAAAGTAGCGAACGTATACACCCAAGTCCATCACGTTGCAAATATATAGAAGCTATCAATTAGCATACACACGTAAAATTTAAGGTTATTGACGTGGTACAATACCTCGTGATGCAATGCAGGTTGCACGTAAAATATTATGGCGGGAAAAAAAAATTTCATTTTCTACTAGGTATATTGGGGAAATATATATTCTTATATATTCTCTATACCTATTAAAACTCCCCTTAATGTGCTTTTTTAAAGTGACCAGTAGCAGTCTAATAATATAACATCTTATTCAGCTCTTAAATTCAGCTTTGCAGTGTTGTTAGCATATAAATAAAAAAAAATATGAACGCTATGAAGACTTCAAGGCCATCACTTTTAACTACAGCATTCGAAACTTATCATAATTACCTTAGGAATCGTAACTTTCTTATGACAGTGACTTAATATAGAGGAGGACAGGCTACTGTTATTTAAATGTATAGCAAATTAAATAATTATCCTTGAACGACTACATAAATCTTACTACATTATAGGTACTGAATAAAAACTAACAGAAAAACCGTACAATCAACGTCAAAATAATATTTGTCATATGTATATAATTTATCAATAATAAGATCTTCCGGGCCTGGAATAAAGTCGAACATATTAAAAAAATATAGAACCTAATTGATGAATGAAAAAACAAGAATATTCCATAATGAGTAATAAAGTTATTTGCCTTAAAGATTCTCATAACATATTAAGTAGTACGAACTTAGCCTGATTACGCTTAATTTAATTAAGAATTATTTTTTCAATACTTTAAAAACCTGTAACCAGTGTTTATCGTCGTCGTTACCCCCTCTCCGCTTTCGCCTAAAAGCATTATGATGACTGTCGATTGAGCGTATTGAGACTTGTGACGCATTTTTTCCCGATGTTTAATTCATTGTATTTAGATTGAGCCGCTAATAGTTCAGTTAGCTGTGAAAGAGGCAACCTACCGTTTAAAGTGTTCTCTTATTCGATCTTCGCGAATGTTATCGGGTAAGTTTCCAACCCACAGGTGCCGAGTCTCTCTAACCATCTTGCTTCGAACTCCACATTAGGAATCATTACCCGTTCGCGTCACTACGTGGCAAAAATCAATTTTGCACACCACGGTGCCTCGCACATTTTGTATCAAACACTAATTAATGCACTAGACACGACATGTCGATTTCACAATTCACTTTTCACGAAACACAAATTTGTAACCTTACGACATTCGAAATTTATCACACAGATCACACTACACTATAAACACATAACGTAATAAACGCGAGCGTACTCTTCGCAGCTCTCGAATTGACAGTGGAGCCAGCTTCGACGCGAGTTTGCCGATAAGCCCCGCCTTCTGACCGCTGCCGCGCAAAGTGGAGTGGGGTGCCCACTTAACTGAGACGAAAATCTCTCCAAATTAAGGAAGAAAAACAAAGACTAATGGTTTATTTTTCCGGAAAATTCATTTGGAATAACTAAGACTATAATCTTATATGAGTAAGGACTAAGCTCGGTCGTATTTTCGTCGATAAATTTAGATGTAACAGGATTTTTTAATATTTTCCTTAAAAATACTTAAACGGGAGCCTTGGTTTTCAATTAATATAGATAATAATTAAAAGCAACATGGTTTTTAAGGTCCCTATAAGCTAATATTTTGAATAAAATAGTCGATGAAAAGAAGTAAATGTGCCGCTATTTCAGATCCGCTGGCCAGTTTCGCCTGTCTTCAGCGTGTCTCTCTCTTATATTAATGCAACTATCTCGCTTACTCTTATTATCAAAGGGTTTAGTGTTGCAACAGATAATTAATCCCCGAAAATAATCGAAAATTTAATAAAAATTGTTGACCAATTTAACAGTTGTGTCATCTACACTAACAGAATCCTTTTTATATCGGTCTTGTGTCGTCTGACTTGATTTATATCTTTGATATACTTCTTATATCACAACTAAAACAATAATGATTTTAGCACTGATTAACATACCAAACATATAGTTAAAGGCAAATTTCTTGGTTTGTAAAGGGTATATTTTAAAATTGACGAAACTAATGCAGCCACAATCAATAGCAATAATATTAAATTTCTACCCATTAAAATATTTTGAATTCCAAAAAGTAGCCTTTTCTTTGGGTGTTATTATTTAAATTACTGTATAAGGTGTATAGTTAATAATCGCTTGAGTTGTTCAACGTTAGTAAATTTGTTATCAAATTCTTTATTATGTTATAACATAGTGTACATACTGTTTGAAACTGTAAACATTTAAGTCGAGCAAATATGTAACCCAGTTTTAAAAAAATTATAATCTTTTCATTATCAAGATTGTCAACAAATTTCTGATCTACTTTTCATTCACAACATTGGGCAAGCGTGCCTTCGCTATGAAACTGCTTTCGACCGAAGTCTGCTCCGAACATTATGTAGGTGTAATGTAAGTACATACGTATTGAATTATATCACTAACATCAATCCAATGACCGAAAAAAGTATGTCAAAACGGCTTTATTTTGAAAATATATGTGCATATTTTACAATTGAAATCGGACATCGAAATTTTGTCTAGTCATAAAGGGTGTTATAATATGCATGTTGAATGTTGATACAAAATCAAGATCGAAAATATCTTCCATTTTATACATACGCGTACCTTATGCGAGGTAATAAGATATAATTTTAAGATATTTGATGTCATACAAACATGAGGTTCACTTATTGACAGGTTAGATATCCCCGCCGTGTAACATTTTAATAAGGTGCGCGGTCGACCTATTTCGGCTTTGAATATTTTGAAATCCAAAACGCGTCACAACTTCACGGCTTTTCTATGAGTCCAGATGCGGACGGCTTTTTTGATATTCCTATTACTTCATTTAATATCTCGATTTCCTGACGAAGTGCAACTTGTGTCAGGAAAAATATAAATTGATCAAAAACGGTTGGACCAGGTGGGTGTTAAACCCACCACTCGTTGATTATTAGCTAAACATTGCTACCATAAAACCAACGAGCCCGTTAAATAACTTATCATTACTTATAATTAAAAAAATCAAATTCTAATGTTATAGCTAGACAAAAACAGTTATCGAATATTGGCTACACACTGCAACTGTAAAAGAAAGGCGATGACCTCTGCGTACTACAATAGTAATGATACAACAAGAGTTTAGACAAAGATCTATAAATAAACAAGATTCAATGTACCGACGGAGTCAATGTCAGGGGTCGGAGGGGAACAGAGACCCCAAGTGCTAAAACGGACATTAAAATGCACTGCTAAATTACAAACAAAGAAATGTGCTTCGTATGTAAGAGGCAATTTAATTCATCGAACCAGATATTTTAAGTCTGGATTAAAAACGTATTCAAAGACATTAAATCTTTATTTTAAACATTAAAGATATTATTTGTATCTCTACTATTAAAAAGTACTATATAAAAAACATATATATATAAAAAAATATGATTAAAACAGAAGTCATACCAAATTCCTTCATATATGAGACAAAGAACAAATGAAAACAGTGGCTTAAAACATCTGTGTACAAAATAAGACTTCAATTAGGTTTTTTCCATACTGGTATATGGTATATCTTGAAGACCTTTTCGACATTACGAATATAAGTTATTGAAAACTTGGTTAGCATAATGCTTGACCTAATTACCTTTTTGAATAACTGTAACCGAAAGCACCTAATACAGTTCATTCGAAGCGGGTTTGCGAGCTGGCATTGTGAAGTGAAAAGTGTCGAATGTTAAGTTACAAGCAAGTTTAGCCTCCCTTAAATGTTTACGTCGCGGTCACTGTTTTGTAGTTTTTAAATACTTCCAATTAATACTGTTTGTATGTCATACGTAGTAAAAACTTTTAAGTTTATTTGACCCGAATATGATTCATAATGTAAAAAATATTACGAACATAAATTTTGCTGCAATATCAAAAAAACCGATTATAATTGGCAAACGACGTTTTCCAAGGGTCAACTTTAATCATTGTTTACCATTATTTTATTTTAATGCCCAACATTTGTTGTCGCTACATCGAAAATAGTTGTATTAATTCTGTGGCACGGCTTATTCTGACAATTCTATTCTACGTCAAATTCTTTTACCGTACTGTCACGGTGACAATTTACTGTGCACATCTGTATAGAGATGTTCGTATTATCGATCTTCTATAATATAACTCAGTCAGACAGTTGATACATGTTCTATTTATTTACATCCTAGTCAATAGTTTGTGTAAGCTTTATGTAAACTATCAAACAGTGTGATGAATTTTTAATTCAACACAATGTAATAAAGCTATTATAATATTGAGATTTTATATAAAAAAATATATTCAAGTACTAAAACTTAATTGACATATTTTTCATTAATATCGATATAATGGTTACATGCATACAACCCTATGTCTGAAAAAATATTACAAAAGATGTAAATAAATCTTACTATCTATTGAAATAAATTTTTTATTAACGCAATTATATTTTCGTAGTAAGTTCTCGTGGTATAGTAATTAGTCGTATTTGTATACGTAATGTTTTTCGTTCTTTATTCTAGTCTTATTCGTTTCTGAATCCTAAAATGCTGTCGAGATATTTTAAACGATTCGTGTTTAGTAACCACCGGTATTTACAACGCTGCAAATTATATTCGTCACAAAATGTAATCTCTGCAAGCGATGGCATCGTGTTAAGTGATACCTGTGTAAAACGATTGAAGGAATTGTGCAGCCACGATTCGTTTTTAAGATTATGTGTCGAGAGCGGAGGGTGCTCAGGTTTTCAGTATAAATTCAATTTGGATAACCAGCTTTCAAATGACGATAAGTAAGTAAAGACTGAGTAAGATACTAGTGAATCCTCATTTAAAAGCAAAACTTAATTAATGTATGAAACATTATGTAATTAATTAGTAAGAATTTACCATAGAATATAGACTGTTTTATTCCATTTTTTGAACAGCTTAATTGAACATTGTTGTTTAATACTTAGCTGAGAGAATCTGCTTTACCATTTATTATGTCTGCAACAAATTGTATTTACAAAAGTAATAAAGACTTTTTGTTTCAGAATTTTTGAAAGAGATGGAGTAAAAGTAGTAATTGATGAGACATCTTTAGATTATATTAAAGGATCCACAATAGACTATCATACTGAATTAATAAGATCTGCCTTTAGGGTAGTGCAAAATCCAAATGCAGATATTGGTTGTTCCTGTGGTGCTAGCTTTTCTATCAAAATTGATTAGTCACTATTTATTTGTCGATTATGGTGTGTACAAATGTAAAATAGCATTATAGCTTAATTCATTATAGTTTTTGAAAGTTGAGGTTATCTTATTTGTTGTATGTTAGCTTTTACAGTTCCTATGAAAAGTCAATAATAGTTTTTGATATATTAATCTCAAGTGCTAGTGATATATTGTTGTTCAGTCCCACACATCATTGATTACAGTCCTTTCTTGTAAAAAATGATGATTGTACTCCTCCACGAAATTACGGTAGGATTTCTTTGCTTGACACAATTCTAGGTAAAACCTTTGTCCATTGAGTGACAGTATGGTTTTCGAGCTGAAGGTTTTAAATAATCTACTAAAAATGTTAATGAAGCAGACTTAAAGTTTAAATGAAAGCTTAATTTATTTATTTTATGTAAAGATAAAAAAAATAATTGACCTAAAAATAGTGTAAATGAGATTACAATGAAATAAACAAAAGTCTAATGAGACTGGGAGATGGTTGCCCAAACATTGTCGAGCTTGGAAGAAGGCAAAGCAATCATTGCTTCGTTCTTGTTTGTGGAATTGCCAGCAGTTCTGAAATAGAAAATAATGATTATCACAAGTACCTTGCAATTTTTTAACAGAATTAATTTAATCACGGAGTGTTGTTTATGAGAATCAATCGAGTTAGAATTGTTTAATAAACTTGGAAGGGATGGACATGCTATTTACACGTGTTTAACTCTAAGTAAAGTAGCTATTAGATTTTGAATCTTGAAAAACCCAGAAAATTATTAAATTTATTTTAGGCTTATTAAAAAATAGGGTCTGGAACCTTCGACATACGGGTGTTGAAATTTCGCACAAAAGTTAAAAACAAAAATTTTACAATTCCAATGACATAAACCGCGACGTCAATGGCGCAGTGGCCAAGAGACGGCAGCGCATTCGCAGTTTCGAGCCTAGCTTGTGTTTATCCCAAGTGTATACAGATTGTGTGAATACAAAACACTCTCTTAGAGTAATTAAAAAATGTTCAAGCCACAATCACCCGTTATATTACACTCGTGTACAAAGATAGGGCTTGGATTACTCACTGCTGCAATTCCGCATTGAAAGTTGAAGCATCGTTGACCTTCTTAACGTTGTGCGGCGAGTAACGGTTGTAGAAACCCCAGATGCTGTTCATCAGTTTACTGTTGTACTTTAGCGGAGTTAGCTCCATAACTGCAATCAAATAGGTCAGTGCACCTGAGTTTTTATGTTCTACGTGTAGTTGTCACGTAACTTTTGAAACTAAGATGACTAACTGACTTGTTTATAATCCTATCACTAAAAGATGGTGAAGTGTATGCCACTTACGGAACAGAGCGCACATATTAAATTCTATTGCGAGAATACTTATGTGAAAATCTTTAAAAAACATAATAAATTGCTCAACGTCAATAACTTTTTTACGCTTTCACCTTTGTTTACTATACAACAACCTAATTATATATCCTCACGTTTAGTATGGTAAAACTTTGTTGTTTCCCCGCCTTTCTTTATATTTGATATCTTCATATCGCGTTGCGTTTCCCTGATTCGGGCCGCGGAAAACGCTGATGGAGGAATTGACGCCATTAATTCTTGACAAGCTGAAAAGTAGAAAGGGGATTTTATATAAAAGTACCACTCAGTAAGAACAAATTGACAGTTATTTCTTTCTCACATTGAAATAACGAAGGAAATAAATAAATGTTGTAAATAGGTTGTTGTTTCAGATACCTAAACCCTTTTGTTATAAAACATAATAGGCTGCTTAACAAAAATGGTTTTCCTGTCATACATATTCCCTCTTTGTAATGCTTAGGTCTTGCGACTTTGCTTTAAAAAAATTTAAGGCGGTTTATATATCATAAATTAGCGATAACTAAACATTTATTTCGTTAAAAAAAAATAACAAACTGGTTCCTCTATTTAAAAGGCAGATCCTTTTAAAACTCGATAAAGGGGAAATTCCTACTAAACAAAGAATCACGAATAAAACGTACCTTTGCACACTTTAAAAAGCAAATTCCGTAACGGCCACGCACCAGAAGTTTCGTATGGATGGCCGAAAATAATTGGGCCTGGTAGAGAAATGGATATATCCAAATCCGAAACGCTAGATAGTTTCATGAAATCGCAAAGTGCTGGAATAAAATGGAACAAAAGACAGACCACTTCGAAGACGACTGCGAGAGTGTGCGACAAATAAGTCACTAAACAAAATGGCTGCGAACACTGCTTGACCCCCGCGGGCTTTATCAGCTTCCAGCAGATAAAAGAGCGTTTAAACAATTTATGTATTGATATGCTACATCACTTATTGCTTGTTTAAGTATGCTTTGTTCGTTCATTTCTATCTAGATTTGGCGAAACGGCGTATTTTCGGTTGTTTTCTCAATAGGGGTGGAAATGACATTTAATTAGTTTGTACTTTGAGTACTTATTCCAGTAATTTCAAGATTCTAAACAATACGTTGAATCCTTCGTAAACATTGAAGTCAATTATGGAACAGACACATTCAAATTCCAGTTTAACTAAAGGATTTTTTCCCCTGACTAAGTAAAGAATGATGGAATTCTCTTCGGTTGAAGAAGTCGGGGTGTTTCCCCTGCAACCGAAGTGAATCCCGATATACTCAGATTTTGGCTTGGACCAATTTTTTTCTTAGGACATTCGGAACTTTTATCTCTTTCTTTGGGGTATTTGAGTAAATGCTGATATACAGCTATATACTATACAATAAGAAACAGTCCTTGTCAACAAGGCCCAAAATATTTTTTGTTATTCGTAATTGAGCTCGATAGTTCATCGTTATCGTGACCCAAGGTTGCTGATCTAATTTTGTTTCCATTTTGAGATAAATGGTCGGATCGGACACACGCCTTCGCTGCGTCGGTAAGAAAAGATGCTCCAGATGAATATTGCTGAAGCCCTCAAAACTGATAGCCCCATATCTGTGGAGTCTGTTGCACCATAGCGTTACAATACAAAATTTGAAACGGCTGAAACAATTTAAGTAATTCTTAGATTATAGTTATTAAATAGTACATCACAAAAGTTGTGATCGTACAGCATTTGGTGTTTTGAGGATCTTGTATTCAGATTTGTAAAATAAATGACACACAGTTGTTTTATTTTTTTCAAGAATCTCACATTCTTCTAGATTAGTATCGTCATTGTTTGACTATTTCTGAAGGCTTAACGATTCTGTTCGATGCGCTATCGGGCTTCAAGATTGACCGAATGTTCGGTTTCTGGTATCAAAAAACACGTATACGTTTTAATGTATAGTCAATGCATATGTTTTTCTACACATCGTGCTTATTTTTAGATATGAGTTTAAGGTCTGGAGTAATAAATACGATACAGACAAAACAAATTCTCCTTACGTATAACATTTATTTTTGCTTAAAATCTATACATTGCGTATTTTACATTGTAATTTCAATTTAATACTGCACAAATTAAATTAATTGTGCTTGAATAGAAAACGTCGCAATCCACATTAAAACATTGAAAGCTGAAATGAATGAACAGGTCTTGAGGTAGGCTGAAAGTATCTAAAAGGGTTTCGATTTAAGTAACATTGCTAAAAGGCCAATCTCAAAAAGAAGGTAAAAGTAAATGCCGATGCTGTACAATTGTGACCACGAACGCCAAGACCTATATTCGTTTGGCAAAGGATCTCTTTAAATAAGCAACATCTTATAAATTTCATTTCTTCGATGTTAGTCTTTACTTACGTAGGTGTTCGCAATAGTACACAACCAAATCAATAAAAACAGATGTCAAAAGGTAAAACATTATGTACATAAAAGCTGCTAAAATGATTTCATTTATTACGTGATGCTTAAGACTAAGCTAACGCGGAGGAAATAAATTATGATGTTAATAAATAATGGCTTAAAAATGATCTGCTCGATGTTTGGACCGAGATACACGTCCAAAAAATACTGTTAAGATCAGTCAGCACTGCGTTACCTGTGGAAAATCGATAATTTAGTTTAAACATTTGGTCTTGCCGTACACGGTCCACCGGCCTTGGTTACAAAACGTCTCCATCAGAAAATCGCATTTGTCGTGTAATACATTTTATATAGAGTGGGTACAGCTGACGTTAGCAGACACACGTTATGTATCAAAATATGTGAAAACTACAGGAAATTTGAAGTGGCGTAATGTGACTTGGCCGGGGGAACAACATAATCGGATTTAGACTAAGCTAAATATTTGACAGTACATTTAGTTAACGGAAATACAAAATATAATACTAAACTTATTGAGGCTGCAATGATAACTTCACGATAAGTACAATTACTTTGTATTATTAAGTGTAAATTTGTATTAATATTCTCTTTCCTATTTTACGCAAATAAGCTTTTACTCAGCTTGAACTTCTTCAGCGCGAACTTTATAGAATGTCGGCTTTTTTGGTTATACGTACCAATTACTCTAGTAAGTTCTGATGACCGGTGGCACAGTCTTGCATTCGCCTTGGTCTAAGGTCTCGTCGATAACGGGTCTGTACGTGAGCTTGGTTTCACCAGTTTCTGGGTTCGTGTCGGCCAACGTGTGCTTTCGCCAATGTTGTTCGAACGGCAATTTCGTCTAGAACGATACGAAAAAATCATCATAATAAAATACCAGTTTTATAATCGTTTCCGCGAAAACATCTGACCTTTGCTTGTTTTTAGATAACGTGGCTAATAAATACATTTCTCAAACTAGCATTAAAAAGTCTATGACAAACATTATCTGAATATTTCAGAAGACATTTAACTAGAAAAGAAAAAGTAATGCATCGCCAATTAAACTTAAAACGATTGGAAAATGGAATAAGTAGTTAACAGTACTGCACTAAATTGAACAACATAAGTATCTTAAATCCAAGGTCCAAAACGGTTTTCTAATTGCTAAACTTTTGCCTGAATGCTTATAAAACCATATTATTTTCAGATAACATAAAAGCTCACAACTAACTCACTAAATTAGGTATTATTTAAGCTTTATATTAATAAAAAATAAAAAACCGAAATAAAAGTTACGAAACATAAAATTGTCTGTGTAAAAGTAGAGTAGTAATTATAATTGTTTACATTATCCATCATAATATCTCTGACGTGTAATTGGAATATAACAAAATTGCATCAGATTGTGCCTTTAATGCGATAAGAACAATAACGTCACCGGTCCAGCCAAATATAAATAAAGTTGGCAAAAACAGATAAACCTTTCGTACATTAATTGATTAGGCACAACTTCTCTTTCTGTTGTCATGCAGACTATAGAAGTGGGCTATAACTTATAAGTATTAAACGAAATGATATTAAAATATGATTATTATAAAATTAATTGTGAATATTAAAGTTATGGATGTACATATATTTATATTTGCTTAACAAGTGTTTGAAAACATTAATGTTTTTTCCTTTTCACAGAAGGGGCTATATAAAATTAAAAAAGGGCCGGGGGGGGGCGGGGGGGGGGGGGCCCGGGGGGGGGGGGGGGGGGGGCGGGGCCCGGGCCTCCTTTTTTTTTTTTTTTTTTTTTTTTATTAACAAAGTGTTGTTTATAATAATATAATACCTTTTTTTCTCCAATACCATACAGAAAAAGAAGTGATTGAAAGGGATCTATTAAGCTTCTATTGTCTATTGTATTATACGTAAAAAAAAATTGAATAGAGCATTACTAGTTAAAACCTATATATGCGTTATTACATAATAAGGTTTTCAACATACTCTTAGTTGTTTAAAAAAAAGTTAAGAAATAGTTAAATATAAGTAAAAGAGTTTAAAATAAATCAACAAATTACCTGTCCATCTAGCGGTTTTGAGTAATCGTATTCATCTCGCCTCGTTTTAAAGTCCTCACGCGCGTGCGCACCACGAGACTCCTCTCTGACCAGAGCGCCTTCTACGATCTGCACCGAGTTGATGAGTAGGTTCTGTAGCTCTAGGGTTTCCACCAGGTCGCTATTCCATATGAGGGAACGGTCGAACACTTTGACGTCGCTTATCTGCTTGTAGATCTCGTGGATTTGACGTTGACCTATTAATATAATTATTTCTGAGGTCTATGCTTTTCTAAATAATTTTCCTATGAATATATCAATGGTAGAAATGGATCTCTAGAAATAAGTAGTATAGTGGTGGTAATACAATAAAATACAATGTTGTGTTTTTACAGGTTTAACGAAAATTCTTTTTTTTTTAATATGATACTCGTCTGCAAATTATTTTTAAATATGACGAAATTCGCCGTATACATGTTTTTTTATAGGTTTCACGAATATTATAGAAACTATAATAATCTCATTGTTTGCCAAGCTTAAAACATGTTACGATCTGTCAAGTGCTTCGGTTACGTAAATAATAAACATACGTTGGTGCCAAGTGTACTTTCAACGAGTGATTTTGGCAACTTTCGCTTTTCCATTTTAGGATAGCGAGTCAGTTTTCGAAATAAACATGCTGATATTATTGTGAATTACGTACAAAAAATCAAATCATTTGACGAGAAACCCCTTTTATTCAAGATAACAATTTGGAGTTAAATACAAAGTTCTTTGGCTCGAGTCTCGAGGAAAGAAATACTAGTGGTAGGGAAAGGCGTAGTAGTCTAATCAACATTCATGTTTAATAAGTAAACAATGAATTTTTAAAATCCATTTCACCCAAAAAATATATATTTTTTTAAATGTTACCTTCTTCGAGTGTGCTTTTCTGTCTAAAGACAGCAGCGTTCGTCTGCATATTCTTTTGCATGCGCAAGCGCAGAGCCGCTGTGGGGATCGAGCCATTCGCGTGTCTGATGTTATCTAAGTTTCCAATGCTTGCTTGTCCGGTTGTCTGCAAGGATGTTAATATTAGGAATGCAAATGTATAACCTATAGATTTTTGACAAACTTCGTTATTTTTAAATATGTATATTCATAGGCTAGCATAGCTAGAGATAGAACAGACAAATGGACAAGATATATCACCGAATGGTATCCAAGAAGATAAAAGAAGAAAGGGAAGCTTGGAAGGCTTTAGGGGAGGCCTATGCCGGAAGGCAAGTTATTAGCAAGTGGGAAAACAAATGAAGTGTAGTTACTAAGGAAACTTGTATAGTTAATAACAATAAAGGCTTATTTTATGTTTTATGTTATTCATAAACCATACTAATTATTTTATACGTAGCCACTTATAATAATAAAACATTGTTTTTTAGACAATTACTAAAAGTAAGAACGTGTTATCCCTTTTTTATCTAGATAAAATATTTAAGGCACAAAAAGTAGGTATTAGACAACATACACTATGTGCATCTCTAAGAGCATTTGGATAACAATACTTACGTCTTTAAGTGGTGCCTGCTTGTCTCCAGGGCGGCTGTTTTCCGCGACAGTGATGGCGCATGCGCGTCCAAACACCACGATATCGAGGAGCGAGTTAGCGCCCAATCGGTTGGCACCGTGCACTGAGGCACAAGACGCCTCACCAGCGGCCAGAAGACCTGGGACGACTTTGTCTTCACCGTTGTAATGTGTTATCACCTGTGCATAATTGAGATATTGACTTTGACATATTAGGTGAAATAGGGGGGGTTTGTGGTTGAAAATAATAGTCAATGATGCATTTCGCTTTAAACCGTTTGAAGTGCTTATAATGTAACCACCATGATGTACCATGTGCATTTTTTTAAATATTTATTTACACAAAAAAAACACATTATAACATAACTATTATACTATGGAATACAAACCTATTCAGGTTCAATCAATTGTCAAACTCAACCGAGAACACAGGTTGAAGTGCATTCTAAAAATATCTTTTAAAGTAAGTAGGCCTTACCATCTACCTTAAAATTGTTTTGTATAATACAAAGACACACATACAATAACCATAAATGTACAAGGTAAATCATATGCATCAATCAAATAATCAAATAACGCTATCTATGTCATTGTGCTACGCTTACATTTATGATGGAATTCGATTGTGGACATATGGAGCCTATTATTTCAGCTGTTGATAACAATAGCCTTATTTCCGCTGCGTATAATATATCTCCCCGTGACTACAGCTGCTGCAAAGCATCCGAAACGTCGGGCCGTAGTTAAAATGATTTCGAAATGAAAGTTTATATTTAACGAGTTATCAGTTGTAGACGCGAGCACAGTTGCCGTAACTGCCAGTTTATTTAGACAAAGCCTTATTTATCTAAGATAATAATATTTAATTTCTACTGTTAGTGCACAATTTTTTTTAAATACAATTTTTTTGTACTTGCAAATAAATTTATCACGCTTGCTCACGATATTTATTTACAATTATCATTTAAATGGTGAAATATTAATATAAATATTCATCTACAAAATGTAAAAACTAATTTTTCCCAAATATTAAATAGAAATAATATTCTAAAAAAATTTCAAGGACGCATTGAAAAACCGATGCAAGTAACTAAGCGTCACACGCTTAGTAGCTATACATTTCAATAATATTATTATACTGGTTATAACGATATGACCAAGCGTAGATCTCAGATAATGTTAACTTTATCATCTTATCATCATATTCTAGAATAAACAATGAGTATGAAAACTCAATCGGCTCACCTCTCCACGATAGTTGGTAGGTGTTCCGCCCATATTGTAGTGCACAGTCGGCAGTACAGGTATGGGTTCCTTCGTAACGTCAACGCCAGCGAAGATCATGGCCGTCTCCGAAATACCGGGCAGACGCTGCTTTAGCTGTTCCGGGGGCAAGTGGTGGAGCTGAAGATGCACGTGGTCCTTTTCCGGGCCACAACCGCGACCTGACAAACAATTACAATCGCTTAACAGCTATTTATTCTACCTAGTTAACAGACATTGAACTTCAATTATTATAACACCAAATAACGAATTGTGATATGTTTTGTTTTTTTTTTCATATATTGTGTTGTTATTTAAAAGATCGCGTATTTTAGAAAAATAAGGAGTGGAACGGGTAGCAATTGGTCAGCGGATAATGTGGACGGTCCTGCCAAGGGTGTCCCCGATAGAAAATAATAATCAACTGGGCTCTCAATAATATACAATAATAAATTGTTAAAGAAAATTGGGTTTTGTGAACACAGAACAGAAGCAAAAACCACAGACCTACACATACAAAAATTGACAATGCAACAAGTCCTAATGAAGTAATTAGGCGAAATAGTTAATCTATGGTCGTATGGACAAGGTTATCTGTTGTGGAAAGTGGCGCGTTGTGTCTGCTAGCGGAGGTCAAATAAAACAACGTATCCGCCAGACGCGAAATACATAAATTTTGAGACTAAAGGTCACAAAGATTCACAGATATATACATTTCTTTAGTTTTAGAAAAGTCAGCTTTCGATTTATTAGAGTTAATAATAACAAAAACCTGTCACACTATAGATTTTCTTTCCTTGTTAAGAAAATGCTTTATTTCCTTTTTACTATCCTTACATCATACATGGGAGACTAAAAATACTTGAAAAGATTATGTTATTTAGAGTTTTGATCACCAAATCATATCCTCCAGAACTTCTCTTTCTCATTTTGAATACACACCTTCCATAATCTCAACGGTCATAGCTCTGGAGACAACATCGCGACTTGCCAAGTCCTTAGCAACAGGGGCATAACGCTCCATGAACCGCTCGCCTTTTGCGTTCACCAGGAAACCACCTTCTCCACGGCAACCCTCCGTCATCAGGCATCCAGCGCCGTAAATACCTAGAACACGAGTGGGTTAATTGTGTGTCATAGCAAGCATAATGGGAAGCAATAGCTTAATTTTGATATAAGGAACGTGTGAGAGTACATTATATACATATTTCTGTATTAGTTTATAGATCCAATATTGTCGCGTGTATTTTACGCGAGTAGTACCTACACATTTAAATAAAACATTTTAACGGTTTAAAAAGATATATTTTAGCCGTCGTCGTCGTAAACATACACATCGGGCCGTAGTTAAAAATAATTTCCAAACAAGTTTAACTAAAATATATCGCGTTTTAAACCGTTAAAGTGTTTTATTTAAAAGCAAGTAGGCACATGCTTGAGATACTTATAAGAATCAAAGATTACTGTACACCTTGTATTTCTATGTTATTACAATGATATTTAGTTTGAGGTGCACATTGCATATATTTAGAACTATGTATGTTGATATTTATTATGTAAACCATTTAGCACATTGTATCTCTGACGAAGCGTGGAAAGTTAGATGGAAATTGCGATGACCTAGAGGTTAGGAAAACTTACTTATCTGTGCTTGTTCTAACCATGCGATTGAGTCAGAATAAAATTAAAGGGCATAAGATATGTAAATTCTATTTTGTAAAGGAGAAGATTGTTTCATTAATAAGAGAAATAAAATTAAATCTTAAATTTTATTTGGAATTCAATAAAATTTTTTTATATTAATGGAGTTCCAGATTTCTTACAGGTTAAGAAAATCTAAAAGGGGTTAAAACCCATTTTTAAAGTAACACCTTGGATTTGTGGTTGAGGTACAAATATACAAAAGTTATTTTAGTCATGAAAGTGGCGTACAGACTATTTCAATTTTTTTCCTATTTATTATTATTAATATTTCTGTATTTCGTAAGGTCAGAACTAGAAAATCCCCTTTAAACTTTAACACTAAAATAAGCACACGAATATAATATATATTTGGATTTATTCAAATACCTCAAATTGTAATGAATTTCGAAAGACATGTAATTCTCAAGGTCGTCTCATCACTATTCATGTCTTATGACAAACCCGTATTTCGCTATCATGCTAATGACCTTTACTTTTAAATATATTTAACTCAAATATTAGACTATAGTTACAGAATTGTAAAATAAGTGTACATGGTGTGTATGGGCCTTACTAGGAATTAATTAATGTCCAATGAAATGGAGATAACTTATAACTTTAGTAATAAAATTAATTAAAATGAAAATTTCTTTAGATTGAAACAATTTGTGCTTGCTGCTTTGAACAATTGAGCTACAGTGTGCCATAATGCAAGCAATATCTTTTAACAAACCTGTGGGATGGAACTGTACAAACTCCATATCCTCATTCTGCAGTCCAGCTCGCGCCGCCATTGCTGTTCCATCGCCCGTGCATGTGTGGGCTGAAGTGCAGCTGAAGTACGACCGACCAGTACCACCTGTAGCTAGGATGGTGTTCTTTGCTTGGAATCTAAAAAATGAATATATCAATATCAAATATAATCAAACCGTAACAGATAAAAACGAATCAATTGTAAAGGCCTTCAACGGCTATATATTTAAATGTCATGAAAAAATCGCGATGGGTAGAGAGGGTAGTTTAAATTTCTCTAAGGTGCACACAAATTTTCGGTGCAGAAAAGAAGGCTATACCAAAATGGACAATACCTGTGTAATGTTCCATCCTCAAGATTCAAAGCGATGCATCCTTTACAGACTCCATCTTCCATTAACAGGTCCAATGCAAAATATTCAATGAAATACTCGCAGTCATATCGAAGGGATTGTCCATATAACGTGTGCAGGAGAGAGTGACCAGTTCTAAAAATAAAATGTCATTTGATATGTTGAATATAATTTTCAAACAAACAGGCTTTGAACCAGCCATATCTGTATTGGAACTTAGGAGTCTAGAAATTCACAAACCATGGATCGATTAACAAATTCTTAATGTTTTGTAATATAATACCAGTGTCATGTCATTGTGAATATCAAAGTTGGGACTGTGTGAACTCAATTTAATTGTTGAAAAATATTTAATCTTAAAATTCAAGTATTGCTCAAGCCATTGGTATAAAGATAGCTTATGAATTTAAATGCAGGATAAGTTTGGAGCACTTTATTGTGATCCCAATAAGTACTTATATTTTAATAATATCAATATACCTGCATTAAATCTCATATAAAAATCTCAAGTTAAAATTGCTTATCACTGCAGTTACTTAAAAATTTCATATCAGTAGTGATAAAAATGAAAAATGTTAAACCGTATATTCAATCATAATAATATTATCAAGCAAGATAATAAAAATGGGCGTTTTTTAATGGTTTTTTTAAGGGGTTTTTTTTTGGGTTTTTTTGGGGAATTTAGATTTAAAGTTTAATAAAAAACAATTTTTTCACGTATTATAATTTTATAAAAAATATTCAGATAATAAAAATATATATTTTTAGTAATAGAAAATTGGAAAAAAATGAGCATTACAAGAACAGGGGCACCTAAGGGTTAAAAGTATTACTAGGTCCGGGGCACCTAGGGTTTGCAAAATTGAAATTTGAAAACTTTGCTTGTGAAGTGTTTACAGTTGGTGATTTTATATGATTAAATGTAAAAAGCTAATAATCTATGTGAACAATTATTTAATACACTTATTAGTTATAAGTCTAGTTTGTTTGCATATATTTGAAGTTCAGTTGAATTGGTCTCCTACCTGTCATGACATTGTAATTTTAAATATATAAATAATAATATGGCGTGTTAAAAAAAAAAGCCCCCCCTTTTTTCCCCGCCAATTGTTCATGATTTGACTATATTGTTAAAAATATTATATTGTTTTTTTTATACATACCTGTCGGCTACGGCGCAACATCTATGTGCTTGTCCGCCCTTACCAAATTTAAGGGATTGTCCACCAAAAGCTCTTTGGTAGATTCTGCCTTCAGGTGTCCTTGAGAATGGCATTCCATAGTTGTCCAGCTCAATGACTGCATGTGGTGCTTCTCTTGTCATGTAATGAATAGCATCCTGTAAAAAAAACTTCTAATACAAATGTGACTTACTATTGAAAATAGAGAATTAGTTGTTTATTGTATTTTACCACCTTACTCATAAGCAAGCAAACAAATAAATTACAATAGTTTAACAGCAAATGTAATGACCATTAACACAATGGACATAGTTTGCCAGAAGTCATCATAACCGTCACATTATTTATTTCCTTCGGAATACAAGAATGAGGATAGCATGAATGATGTTAGATAATTTATTATCTAATAGATTATAATAACGCATCTCTGATTATTTATTTATTTAGGTATTATTATTATTGTCATATTTGAAGAGATTTTTAGCACAGTTAAAAAAAAATTGCAGTAACTCAACAGTATTTTCAGAATCTTATATATTTATTTATTTTAGTCAAATCAATACATACATACAATTAATGCAACATAATTTTAACAGTATGGAGTATACTAACCTGGTCTCCAAGCCAATCAGAACCCTTAACTGTGTCATACATGTGCCATAGCCAACTATCATCTTCCATGTTACCTGAAAAGATGTCCTAAATAATTAGTATATTTTACTACTTCTCTAGGCTAAAAAGATTTTGTATTACAATGACCTATAAGTGGATCAGAAATTCAGAATATTATTTAGTATTTTGAGTTACCATTATTTGTCAAATTTCTAAAAACAGTTACTGTGTTATTAACATGATCTTATCTACTTGATCTAGTGCTAATGAAGTAATAATTACCTAGTGCAGCATTTATGCCGCCCTGTGCTGCTACTGTGTGTGATCTTGTTGGAAACAACTTAGTAACAACAGCTGTCTTAAATCCTTCTTGCACCAAACCGAATGCAGCGCGGAGACCAGCGCCTCCCGCCCCGATAACCAGTGCGTCATGTTGGTGGTCTATGACTGTGTACGACTGTGCCACATTTGAATTCGTCGAGGCTTCTTTTAAGGGGGACGCGCCTCCAACGGATAAATGAAGATTGCGGTACAAATATGTAGCCTAAAATATAAATAAAACTATTATACTAACTAAAGTGCGAACACTTCTATAACAAGCATATGCGAAGTACGAAAACATGGTGCGGGCTGTGTAATATTCCATGCTTTCACTATTAAATCGAATTAGAAAAAATTCAGACCATAGCAAGTTTCGCGTTAAGTATAAAAAAACGTAAAATTCTAATTGAGCTGGTATTTTTTTAAAGTTGCACCACTTTATGCAACAGTACCAAAACACCTCAGAGCAGCTGGATAAAGACATTTCTTCTAATTTTCGTGGTTACATAACGAATTGGTTTTTCCATCGAAGTAATTCGCAATACAAACCAATGACGCAGGGCTACGAGATAAGGCTGCTTTCATTAATGTACTCATGATGGAACTCTCTGCCCGCACCCAGAGCACACTTTTTTATTTTATGCTGTTCTAGAATAATTCGAGGACCGACATTCACTCGCCCGCTGTTTTTCGAAACTGAAGCATTTTGACATTTGAGTAAATTTTTAGGATGATGACATTTATGAAAATTGACATCAAGCTTGATATTATAAAATAAATAACATCCTTAGAATTATTAAAACATTCAAATAAAGCAATATGTAATTTATAAATTTAAATTTTAAACCCATGAGGAATTTATAATGCCTATAGAATTTAGCAGATTAACAGTCAAAAATCAAATTTCAATATTGACTTTGACAACGACTGAGGAGACGGCCAAATAAAATAGGCAATAACTAAAACTAAAGAAAACTATAAATAAACTCGAAGCCGAAAATTGATAACTATAGTTTCGATTATAACGATTTTTACTTATATACAATTAATGAATTCTACAATATTGCGACTTGGAAAATGGCTGATAACCTAATCAGCGATGCTTTAACTGAAGCTGAGAGATTACGCGGTGAGTTTGTACACAGTTTTTATTGGATTTTGGGATGTTGTTTAATATTCACGCTATACATTGACCTAAATAACAGGCCCTTCTTCCACGCTGTTCTCAAAAGTATAATAAATAACGATTTTGTTTCAGAGGAAGAACTAGCTAGAGAATTGGAGCATAGTGATTCAAATGAAGGAGACACAGCAGACATATCATTGGAAATAGAGGAAAATCTGCTTAAAGATGAACCAGAGTGTAAGTATCAAATCTTAACAGTTATTCCTACTGTGGACACTTCCTATCAAGGTAGTTAGAGTAAAAACATAAACTCTATTTATGGGTATCTTGATTCAGTATTTGTAAAAATCATTGTATAGATAACCAGGTCAGTTCTTTGTGTAAGCATAGTTTATTAGTTGTTTGTAACAGCTACTCTGGGGGACAAATAGAGAACTTCAGTAATAAATCTAGTGTCACTACTTTATTATTTTATTTATTTATGTTATGGTAGGTAGTTAATATTAAAGACCATTTAGTAACTAATAATTATTTATACTTTCTTACATTAAAATTAATACTCTTTCCAGATGCGACATTAACAAATTATGGTGAGAGTACACAAAATACACAACATATTGAGACATATTCTGAAGATCTTTTTAAGCATAAAGATATAGACTTACCCATCTATAGAGAGCAGTCAGATGATCTATTAGCAGCACAAACTGACACTTTTGTTGACGATAATGATAAATATGAATCCTATATTAATGACTATACATTTAATAATCAGACAATTGAAGATTGTAATATAGAAAATGTTATTGAACAAAGCAGCAATGAGGTGAAGGAAACAACAGAGACTACAGGTACAAGTGATGATCAGCAAAATGATAATGATAATAATGATTATCAAACTATGGAGGAGATGAGCGAAAGAGAAAGGGAGAAGAAAAGTAAAAAGGAATTAGAAGAAGAAGAGAGAGAAAAAATGCAGTAAGTATAGAAAGCATTAATCAAAAATTAAATAGATGTGTATAATGCCTTAATAGTATTATTAATTTTAATAGTTAGTTTTTAAAATGGACAAACCTAAACTTTTTTAATAATTTTTAGAGTTCTGGTATCTAACTTCACAGAAGAGCAATTAAATAGATATGAAATGTATCGTCGAGCTGCATTTCCAAAAGCGGCAGTAAAACGGTTGATGCAGACAATAACTGGCACTTCAGTTGGACAGAATGTTGTGATAGCTATGTCTGGTATTGCTAAAGTTTTTGTTGGAGAAGTTGTTGAAGAAGGTAAGAAAACTACCCTTGTGACTGCCATCTCTTTCGCTTTGTAGGTTCAACCAGTACTCGATCTTAATTGAAATTAAGTGATGTCAAAGACTCTGGTTCACAATTAAAAAATTCAATTATTGAACTCACTTAAAAACACATTGTTTTACACACAACTTAAATTACTAACACAGTAACTTTATTTTTAATATCCTACCATAGGTTTTACTTGGTACTGAGGATCTAATATGTTTTGAGAAAGTAAAAATAATTTTAAAATCGAAAATGAATTGAAAAAGAATTTCGACTCGGGCAGGTCTTGAACCGGCATCGTCAGCGTTCCGTGCCTATATATACTGCCTTCATGTGCAATACCATGTAAAAAATAATCAAGTTTTCAAAAGTGGAAATATCTGTACAAATACTGCATTTGATGAGGGATTCAACCCTTTGATTTGAGATTGTAAATTCCATTACCATCAATTCAGTATCCAGAATAGAAAATATTTTTTTAGTTCAAATCAATTTCTATGTAATTCTTTCTTCATTTCAGCTCTGGAAGTACTGGAAAATTCTGGTGAAGCCGGACCCTTACAACCGAAACATCTTAGAGAGGCTTTGCGAAGGCTTCGAGTGAGGGGTGCAATACCTCCTCGGAAAGCATACAAACATATGTTGAGACTTTAACATTTAACATAAGAGGTACTATTCACCAAAATGATTTAAAAGAGTGTTGTCTCTTCTTTACATCTCCTACAATGAACAAAAGACACCCAACATTCACTAAACTTCAGTTGTTTACTTTATGGCAACACAAATCTTTCCTATTAACTCCTTTTGGTGACTATTGTATTAACACTGTAAATAATCCTGTAATTCGTCTTCATTGTGTAGATATACAATTAAATGTAATTTAAGAGTTTTTAATTATCCTGTCTTAGGTATTTATAATATAAATGAAAGAAATATATTTTAATTTAAAAATAACGTTAATTTATTACATGATAAGTTTGTTAATTAAAACAATATACAACGTTAAGTTAGGGTCATTCGTTTACAAAACCTTTGAAAGTAAAATCAGTCTTGTTAAAAATGCTAACTCTATTTATGGGATTCGATGAAGTTAAAACATTATAAAATACATTTATCAACAAGGACTAAACAAATAAAAAACAACACAAAACTCCATTCAAAACACAAATAAAATTGGCACTTAATAATTATAACTTTAGATCCCATTCAGCATTTAAAGAAATTTCAGTGTCTCAAATGTTCCGTTAATATCACAGTTACTTTTGTTTTAAATTGTTGAAAAACTAAATAAACTTGTATCCAAATGTGGGAAGGCACTTAATTAATTTTGTAACGTTGATATCTCTTTACTTACGGGATACTGTATCAACCATGTTGACTTGTTCAATGTTGGATATATAAGAGGCACTTTTTAACAGTTACTCAGAATAGACCTGCTAAATTAACTGAGTACCCAGTTTTACCTCGAAATAATGACAATTATCAAGAAAGTCAACAGTTCTCATTGCTTATATATAGCTATGTCAATATTTCTTGGTTAAATTGGGTCTAAATACTACTAATACAGGAAATCAGGCGTCCTGATTTACCCCAAATGAACTGATATACATATACTTTTCTGTTTCAAACATTTAGTTCATAATAATGAAGGATTGACATTTTATAATAAAATAACATTTAATAAGATTTTGAGAAATAAATAGGAATTTTAAGTACCATTCTATCTATGATACATAGATACCGTACTTTGATTTGCATTCCTGCAAATATCGCTTCTTAACATGAGTTTGTTTTAAAAACCCCATACATACATTTATATTAAGGTCGGGTAATTTATCAATGATAGGGTTCACGGTTGAATAGCAAGTGTCTATTCATAAAATATATAATATAATAGTACGTGCTGTACTCTGCCATGGTAAAATTTACTTATGTTAAAGACATCATTTCCTAGAAACCATAACAACCCGGCCTTAACTATCTGCAAAGATCAGAAGCAAACAATCATTTTGACCGTAATTCTGAATTATAAGAAAACAAATCGCTCATATCTTGCAATAAAATCTTTCTACTCAGCCAGCTTAAGAGTCGACTGTATTTTCGTGCCGATAAAGTAAAAGGCTGTAAGACTAGAAATCTGACACATTAAGTACACAGTTCACACTGCGAGTCGCTTGACCCCACACTCGATGCAAAATTTGGCTGTGTCCACTGGAAACTTACTTCCACATTCATGACAGAAGCGGGAAAGGCGTGGGGCACAGGGAAGAGTGTCCCTCCGGCCCTGGTGGAGGGACGCTTCGGATCCACTCGAACTTAGCGACCCTTTTGGCCGATGCGATGGATTCCGATGCGTAGACGCGCGAGAACTTGTACGTTTGTCTAAAAAAAGAAGAATAGTGAAGGCCCTGTTTCTCTGCCCTAGGTATTTTTTGGGTTCAATATTGGTCGATGTTGAAGTTGGTACACACCTAACGTGTCCTCCGGAATATACAATTCATTTTCTCGAGATAGTTAAGCCATGTTAGTGTTATGGAGAAATTATTGGTACTATTTAAATTCTTACAAACATCATATATCTAGTTAAGATTACATTTAGGTAAATAGAATAAATAAGTAAATAGATAAATTATTACCATTAACAATGTTTCCTACATTATTGTACGACGAATGCATATCAGATCTTGTCAAAGTCTCCTCTAATTCTGCCGATCTCTCCATTGCTAGGAATTCCTCGCTGGATAGTGACCGCCTGTCTTCTTTGTGACTTTCGCTGGTGTCAGAACCGCCGGGGATTTGTTCTAACAGAACGGAATCGTTTTCCTTTACATTACATAGTGATAGCTTCGACGGTGACACTCGGTTTAGGCTAGAATTATATATTTTTACTAAACACTTTTGAGTTTGTGTGTAGTCAAAATAATATATTACCTAATTGTTACCTGACTAACCTGCTATACGCCGAATCGTTGCTAATCTTCCCACCGGGTGTGTGATTTCCATTAGTTATGTTATCACATTTATTACCCTTCTTTTCGCATTTCTTTCGACTGCTCCTTTTCACGGTATCGGTATACATATTATGTTTGTTCATATGTGAGAGATCTTTACTCGTCTGGTTCTTCTCGTTTTTTTGAGATTCATAGAATTTGTCGAATTCTTTCAAGGATTGCATTATGTCTTCTTCTAATTGGTCGGTCTTGTGGCGACTTTTCGCGTCCACTTTCGTAGGTTTCTTTTGGATGGAGTCAAGGAGGGAAGTGGAACGTTTCACGGAGGAAGGGAATAGTTTATCACCCACAATATTGTTGCTGCTAAAAACAAGTGACATGGATTTATTAACTGGAATCATACCGTTGCTACTACTTTTTAAAATTTTTGGCGAATCAACTTTCGCCTCGAAGACGTCGTCTGATAATTCTGATTGTTTAATGATTCTAGTTGTAGAACTACACGTGCGCCTTTCAGATTTTTGTTTATTTACTTCATCGTCAAACGAGGTCATAAATTCCTCAAGATCGAAATCTTCGCAAAGAGAATCGTCATCCCTGCCGGACGTCCTAGATGCAATACTGTGTTCTAGAGACGACATAAGCTTATCGTATTGAGCACCTAAGTCGCTAATGATCGGAGTTGTGGGATTACTACTGTAAAAATTATTGTTCTTTTCATTTTTCCTATTTTCCACACTAGTTAAATTAGCATTGTTGTTATTTTTATGGACTGCACTAAATGATTCAAACTTAGCAGGCAGATTCTCAGTTGTAAGTAAGGACTCTAAACTACTTATGATGTCAGGATTATTTAGAATAGTGTTTACGTTAATTGGTAAGTTGTCATTTTCATTGATTAGCCTAGGGTCGATATAATTACTGTCTGTCATAGATGAATTATCACATGACAAAATAGAGTCAAGATTTACTAAGTCGTTCTTTTCCTCGTCTTTGTTTATTTTCTCTAGTTTAATGGGTTTACTATTTGTATTTCTTTGGAAAGCATGATGCATTGAAGTTGACAATTTTGGTATTTTATTTTTTAATTTGGGAGTACTATAAACGGAATTATTGTAGCTTGAAAATGATCTATTTAAACTACTGTTACGTTGGAAGTATGGCTTTTCAACAGTGTTTACATTTTCTTTACTACATTTGGTGAATGTGGTGTTAAGATTGGGTCTTTTCTCATTTCTATTTAATCTAAACGAACTGCATCGGCCACCGAAGGTGTTCGTTTTGTTGCTTTCATTATTTGTACTTCCAAAAGACTTCATTCTATTTAACGTGGGTGTTTTTTGGTAAGTTTTATTTATAGAATCTTTCATGGACTTGGTGTTTTCAGGGCGGATATTGTTAGGGGTCTTAGACGGAGTTTTTAATGTAGGAAGTGTTGTGTTGGAATCTTTGGCGGAATTTTGAAACTTTTTGGGAATATTGGTGTCCGAAGACATAAGTTCTTTCATCTGCCTAGCAGCGCACGCAAACGGGTCATAATTATCATCAATCCTGAAAAAAAAAATACACAATATTATATAAAGTACTATGCTCCTTACATGAGCCTATTTGTTATACTAGCTATATAACGTGTTAATGTGGAATTATTATGTCTGCGTTTATATCTATTAGTTTAACATATTTTGTACATACATTTACTGTAAGATAAGGTATTTTTCGAACTCCGCCTATAACAATGTGAACAAGGGGATACTAAATACTGTCTATAGTTTACGCGGTATATTAGTTAAACAGTCTCCCCATGACCACGGCTGCTGCATCCGAAACGTCGGGCCGAAGTTAAAAAGTTATTTTCAAATAAGTTTAACTAATATATCGCATTTTAAACCGTTAAAGTATTTCATACTAATGCACTAGTGCTCTAAGAAAAACGGTACAACATAGTAATGATGATATAACACGCGTAAACCTTTTTAATTCGATTCGTGGCAACTTTAATGGGGGGGCTTCATCGCCACTTTCTTCCCTATTTCCTTTGATTATGTACGTTTGATAGTCTTTGTCCGTTCGCTTCTGCATTTTACTTCCTCGAGCCTCTTTAAAAATATCGGATATTTTATTTTTACCTTGGAGGCTTTTCTGAGGCATTTTATTATTTTCTGTTATGACTGGAAGCCTGAATGTTGTTTCGTCACTACAAGTTTCTTCTATAGAGTCTTGTCGTTTGATATCTTTTTGAACGTAATGTAAATTTATCTCTTGCGGTTTAGAATTTTGTTCGTAAAATTTTAATTCATAGATTGTTATATGTTCCAAATCGGAAATTCTCCTATTTTCTTCGATATTTTCAGAATGATCTTGCGCTTGGATTAAATCTTTAAAATTATTTTTTAACTCTTCAATTGTATCCGAAAAACTATGCTTTGTTGACTTCGTGTCGATATTTTCGTTATTTTTACATAACAATTCTATGGAATTAGTTTTAGGTGTGTGAAGACCTTCTATGTCCTTCTCTGATAATTCTTGGACTTCTTTTTTCTTATTAATCATGTCATTGGTTATTGTGAGAAATTCTTCCAAATCCGCTGGATTGTCGATGAATTTTGTATACGTATCGCCACTGCCGTGGCGACTTATTAAGTTAATATCACTTTCATTCTCTTTAGGTTCCATACCTTTATCACAATCAAAGCTGTCTTCGCTGAGATCCCGCTCATAATTTTCTTCTAAAATTTCACCCGATAAGTCACAATTTTCAAACGGCGTTTCTGCTTGAGGCAAATCTTGAAATAGTTCTTTAATTTCTATTGGCTTAACATTTTTGTTTTTTACTTGGTTACCTGGTGTTAAAGTTGTTTTTTCGTCCTTAAATTCATTTGCTTCACTGGGAGAATTGTACGATGATAATTCAGAGGGCTCTAAGCTATCTTCAATATCACCGTCGTCTCGCAACTCTTTACTTATGTCACAAGAGCTGACCATAGTTAAATTTTTATAAAGTAACTCGACACTTGACGATGCTTCAGTTATATTGTTATGTACAACGTTATCTGCTATATCTACTTGAATTTCACTCTTTAAATGCTTTTTTTTCTTAGTTTTTGCTTTCGGAGACGTATCGTGTATTACACACGGTACACATGGGCATAACAGTTCAGTATTTATACCTATGGATTGACTTTTTTGATCTCTATTAGATGGCGAACATTCATCGAGACTATCTAAACTCATTGTACTTTCTTTAAACTTTTTTACTTTTTCTGCTACAGCTATGGTTTGTTTTTTCTTTACATTAATCACAGTACTAGAATTTTTCTTTGTTTCATTTGACTTTTCATGCCTTAGAAAAGTAAGGGATTGCTCATCTATGTTATTTTGCATCATTGGTCTTTCGCGAACTCTTGTTGCGCTCTGGGCGGTCTGTTTATTCCTTATTGGTATATGGCTCTTTGACGATCCTACTTTTTCTATGTTAGCTTTTTGGTCAGCTATTATTTTTTCGCTTCTTTCTTTGTGTTTTTCAGCAATTTTTTCAAGTTTTTTTAGTTGTTGCTTTTTCTTAACGTTCAACCTTTGTTTAGGTTTCTTTTCTACATCTTTTTTATTAATATCGGGATCAGTAGTGCATTGTTGCAGATGGGGTATGGTAGGTTCTTGATAATCTCTATAGAGGGGGAAAGGAAGGAATTCAGTAATCTGAACTATAACAACAAACAAGGAGATAGGAGTACGACTAATAACGAAATAATATGTTTATGAAATTATATGAAAAAAATGGGTCCTTCCTTTCCCCTTATTTGCTGGATCAATGTTTACTATGACGAGGTATAATGTTAATATTTTTTTTTTAGGTATACGAGGTATAATGTATATAATTAATTATGTACCTGGTGCTGCTCAAATCTCTAGCGAGTCTGGCTTGCCGTGCTTTAATATTTGCGTCCCCTGACGACTTGTTCTGAGAACTACGCGAGTTTCTTATGACAGGAATATGCGGAGAGCTCTCCTCGTGATAATCGTTGCTGGATCCGGATTCTGTATTTTTTCATTTCATTTCTATTAAAACACTTTAAAAACGGCTAACAGTAATATATACATTTATGTATAACGATAATGCTTGTATTAAAATTAAGGGCAGAAACATAATTGATGATTAATTATTTACCTAATAGAGTAATAGGTAAACATTTACATAACGCCTTCATTTTTAATTTCTCACCTGACGCTCTAGACCTAGGGTGTTTGTAATCGCCATACTCTCTTGGAGGAGAAATACCACGCGTTGATTCCACTGACGCCGATCTTGAAGACTTCTCACGAGTTTGGGATGTACTGTAAATACAAATGCGGATTCAGGCAAGTATTTAGGTTACTTTCATATGCTGCAAACTTCGATGTGGTAATAGTGCATTAGCTGAGAAGAAATATAAACATGTCTGACTTTCGAATTGTTTCCTCTTTCTTCCAAAACTAATTTATTTTAAATACAATGTTGTTGTTATATATTTCTGAAGGAAAAGTAAAAAGGGTCTAGTATAGCCATAAATGTTAAAAAAAATTCAAAATGTATGCTATTCATACCTAATGATTTATTCTTACCGTCGGGTCCTAACAGGCGGTGCCTTATACTGTGTTCGCGCGTTCAGCCTCTGTTTAGCATCAGCAATGTGTGGCGGTGGTTGCGCGGGCGCAGCTGGCAGGATCTTGGCTTTGTCAGCGCACCACTCGACGTGCCTCTCGAATGCACGCACGCCAAAGGCACGTCCGCAATGTGGACACTTTTGTAGGTCAGCAGTGGGCTGGAAGTTGTGATAAATATATAAAATATTTATCTCTCAGATAAAACTATGATCGTTTATTTTTATAAATACACAATCTACCTTTTTGTGAGTAACAAATATTTCTTCGTTGTTCTTAGTAAGAAATATTTATAAATATTTTTTTATTTCCTAGTCTTGTTCTGTGGTTTTACCTTATAAAATATATCTTACAGTTATTTTATAAGCAGGTACATAAAGAGAAGAACAACCCAACACTTCATGGTTACCTCCCTATAGTACATTTTATAATTATTATATTTAAATTAAAAATACATAACTTCATACTATCTCTGGAGGTAGGAAAATCTATTTAGACTAAATATTTTAAATACAAAGATCTTACCTTCATCATGGCTGTGCGCACAGACTGCAGCTTGGGCTTGGGCGTCGCTTTGGCAGTGTTGGGCGGGCTCTTCTCCAAGAACGGGCTGTTTTCTGGAAGACCGAAATTCTTTGGCAAGTATTGTTCTAAGTCCGTGCCTGGAATCGTATGGTTATATGTGAGCATGCCAGTGATAACCAAACTACTAGTGCACTTCACACCGTGCAGAACCGCTGTCAGCATCAGACCATGCAATTATGCTAATATGAATCATTGTTCAATCTTCGGATGGGTTATGTGGGCGTCTTTCGGGCGATGTTAAGCAAATGTAGTTCTTATTGCAAGCCGTTAAGTCTTAATGGATTGTCAGTGTCAATATTAGCATACGAGCGTTAAAGTTTTGGGCGTTGGTGCTTTACTTTTAAGGCATTGGCGGACATTCCTAGTTTGTTTTCGAAATAAGTACGTGGATACCACCTGTGGTAGTTTCGCTTTAAGAGACCCATCGTTTTAAAAAACTTATCTAAACTTTAATCATAATAATGGCCAACAAGTTTGGTTAGGTTATCAAGAGACTCTTCTCTTACTCCACAGTCAAATTTGTTTGTGACTTTTAAACGTTAGAGGTATCTATAATAAAAATGTATTCGCGGCCTTACGTAAATATGTAAAACTACGATTTAAAGAAACGCTTTTTGTTTTATTGATGGAAATTTCAAAAAAAAACACTCAGCGCGAAATAACCAAAATTGACTATGTGTCTACTGTGTTATATTTAAATTTAATTAAAATGTTAAACCATAAAGCCGGTCACATTTTACTAAACGTAAACGTAAATATTTGAAAAGGAAATAACGCAGGTTAATTTGTATTTACAGACTAGTCAGCGTCAGGTCCTACATAAAGTTCCCGTTTGCACTAAATAAATATTTATAGAACGTACTCAGCAAATGTTCATGTTACTAGTATCAAACAAAGCATACAGTTAAAATTGGCAAATCAGAGCTAAACGAGCCATTAACATACAATCTATGCTTTAAATCCAGGCAAGAAAAGGCCCTTCTTAAATTCGCAAGCGTTGTTTTTTATCGATAGAAATCTCCATATTTTGCCTAACAATCAACACGCATGCAAAGTTTAATTCAGGAGTATTAATACAATTTGTATGACAAATAGTTTTAATGTCACAAGCTTGTTTGATCTGATAAATGGGGCTACTATCAGTGTTGCCAACTATACAATTTATTAAAAGCACTTTAGTACATTAAGCTTTTACTTTAGTTCGGAGTTTAGCATAATCTAGTTTTGAACCTCGTCCAAAATAAGTTTAGTAGAAATGGGAGACCTCTTGGGTGTGGAAAGCGATTTGCAATAATCAAATTACCTTCACGTCTCTGCCTTGAAGAGTCGAATGTTTTCCTCTTCTTCACGGTCATCTTTTCGCAGATCTTCACATGTTTTGACAGAGATTGAGGGACGAAGGTTCTTCCGCAGACGGGGCACGGTGTGAGAGGTAAGGGCCCCGAGGGTTCTGGGTCTACGGGGGCCACAGGCTTAGTTGGAACGGGAGGTGACGGCGGAGGGCCGAGGCGACTCGGCGGTGGCGTCCGCTGCAGCGGCCGGAACTCTGTGTTGGGTCCATCTGACGGTGTCGGAGATGCTGCTCGTGAAGACTTTGTTGAATTGTGCTCTTGGTGCCGTTTGCCTGAAATTTTTTTGATCAATCAAAAAAATGTACTAAATTTTACAAATACTAATGTCATTGTTATTAAAAACAACATTAAAAATAAGCATTAAAATTTCATAGATAATTTGATTTTGAACTACGCAAAATTCAAACACATTATTTTGTCTACTGCAATTTTTATACCCTTTCAAAAATTGAAATCTGTGATTAAACATGTGAACGAAACAATCGCTCACATTAAATATATGTACTTATATATACTTGGTTTCATAAAAGCAATATTTTACGAGCTTTATGAAATCCAGTTTTTACTCGGAATTAATTAGTGAGGCGGCACTTGTTTTTATTCCGTCTCTCATTCAGCTAGGTCACGACTCGAGGTCGGCTCAAATTGTAGCGAGAGCCGAAACATGAGACCCCGTAACCTCAACGTTGTTACGTGAGAGCAATTGATATTTATGGTAACATTTAGAGTAAATGAGAAATTTCGAACATCCCAACTTCGTGCTGAACACACGCATTTAGAATAAGTATTATTGTTTGACATTTAAACTTTAAAGCACTACTTACCTACTAAAGCAGTTTGTGAATAGTTTTACAACAGTCCTAAGATTAGATTTTAAATTCAATTGTATACTTGTAAATGTCCCCGGATTAATACATTCTTTAGTAAGTTTAAAATGCAATAATTGAAAGAAATACATATTTAGTGATGCTCCTTTTAATAACGAACTATTTCTATGTAAGTTGTATTTTGGTACTTTCTGTAATAATAATAACAATTAACGGGAAGTGGGTTAAATTCCCAAAATCTGACTGATCGAAATAATGAAGAATAGAAGCCAAATATAATAAATTGAGTAAAAATAACAATGTGAGCGACACGCTAAGTCAACACATCTAGGTACTAAGCAATTGCTCCACAAATTTGTCCTTTACCAGTGTTTACATTATACGACATCTCGCAAGTCGTGACACCCGACTTGTTTACATTTGAGCACTGAAATGTCACAACTGTGAGAAATACGCTATGCTTTGTTTATCTAAACGCGAGATTCTATATAACACTTGTGGTGTTTTTTAATTGTTATTTTATCACGCATCGGGCAATTTAAATTAAAAAATACAAAAGTAAACTAATTAGAAATAGATTATTATGTCTATTTCAAATTAGTACATGTACGCTTCATATTTCGTACCTATTCTAAGTACTTCCATACCTAGCTCGCATTAAACATAGGTTTAACCCACAAAATGTATTTAACTAAAACACTTTAACGGTTTAAACCGCGATATATATTAGTTAAACTTGAAAACTTAATATTTTTCACATGTTATTGCACATGAAGGCACTATATAATTTAAAAATCGAAAATAAATTGAAAAAATTTTCGACTCGGGCAGGACTTGAACCGGCATCGTCAGCTTTCCGTGCTGTTGCTCTACCAATTGAGCTACCGAGTCCTACACCTCATCGTCGAATTTTTCAACTTATTGATACATGCACCTCTCGCGCAATGTAATTTCTACCTTAACACTTGCGTATTAAGGCTCAATGTCTTATGCTTTGCAGCTTAAGAAATCATTGAAGATGAAATTACAAAGTTATAACGTTTGAAAACATTAATATTTTTCACATGTTATTGCACATGAAGGCACTATATAATTTAAAAATCGAAAATAAATTGAAAAAATTTTTTATACGCAAGTGTTAAGGTAGAAATTACATTGCGCGAGAGGTGCATTATCAATAAGTTGAAAAAATTCGACGATGAGGTGTAGGACTCGTAGCTCAATTGGTAGAGCAACACACGAAAGCTGACGATGCCGGTTCAAGTCCTGCCCGAGTCGAAAATTTTTTCAATTTATTTTCGATTTTTAAATTATATAGTGCCTTCATGTGCAATAACATGTGAAAAATATTAATGTTTTCAAACGTTATAACTTTGTAATTTCATCTTCAATGATTTCTTAAGCTGCAAAGCATAAGACATTGAGCCTTAATACGCAAGTGTTAAGGTAGAAATTACATTGCGCGAGAGGTGCATGTATCAATAAGTTGAAAAAATTCGACGATGAGGTGTAGGACTCGGTAGCTCAATTGGTAGAGCAACAGCACGGAAAGCTGACGATGCCGGTTCAAGTCCTGCCCGAGGCGAAAATTTTTTCAATTTATTTTCGATTTTTAAATTATATAGTGCCTTCATGTGCAATAACATGTGAAAAATATTAATGTTTTCAAACTTATAACTTTGTAATTTCATCTTCAATGATTTCTTAAGTGCAAAGCATAAGACATTGAGCTTAATACGCAAGTGTTAAGGTAGAAATTACATTGCGCGAGAGGTGCATGTATCAATAAGTTGAAAAAATTCGACATGAGGTGTAGGACTCGTAGTCAATTGGTAGAGCAACAGCAAGGAAAGCTGACGATGCCGGTTCAAGTCCTGCCCGAGTCGAAAATTTTTTCAATTTATTTTCGATTTTTAAATTATATAGTGCCTTCATGTGCAATAACATGTGAAAAATATTAATGTTTTCAAACGTTATAACTTTGTAATTTCATCTTCAATGATTTCTCTAATTTCATCTTCAATAATTTCTTTTGCTGCAAAGCATAAGACATTGAGCCTTAATACGCAAGTGTTAAGGTAGAAATTACATTGCGCGAGAGGTGCATGTATCAATAAGTTGAAAAAATTCGACGATGAGGTGTAGGACTCGGTAGCTCAATTGGTAGAGCAACAGCACGGAAAGCTGACGATGCCGGTTCAAGTCCTGCCCGAGTCGAAAATTTTTTCAATTTATTTTCGATTTTTAAATTAATAGTGCCTTCATGTGCAATAACATGTTGAAAAATATTAATGTTTTCAAACTTATAACTTTGTAATTTCATCTTCAATGATTTCTTAAGCTGCAAAGCATAAGACATTGAGCCTTAATACGCAAGTGTTAAGGTAGAAATTACATTGCGCGAGAGGGTGATTTTTTAAAAAAAAGTAAAAAGAGATGAGGTGTAGGACTCGTAGCTCAATTGGTAGAGAAAGACGGAAAGCTACGATCGTCAAGTCCTGCCGAGTGAAAATTTTTTCAATTTATTTTCGATTTTTAGTTAAACTTATTTGAAAATTATTTAAACTACGGTTTCGGATGCTTGGCAACAGTCGTGGTCACGCGGAGACTCACATATATTCGCGTTTTAAACCTTTAAATTGTTTTATTTCAATGTGAAGTACTCGCGTAAACTACAGACTGTATTTCACAAAATGTATTTATTTATGGTAAATGTAACATACAATCTCGAAGCAAAGTTCAAATACGATAGCGGTGTTATATAATAATATCTAATTACTAATTAGAGCTAATTATTACCTCAATGAGCACAAACATAACGTGCCTTAGCAAGCGCAGGTATTTCAATAAACAAAACCGGTTTTTCGACCTTGGAACTTCTACAGAGTGGCTGGCGTTAATTAATACGCGACTTATTCCCTAATAGCAAATACCATTGAAATGGTATAGTTAAAACTAATATTCTATATAGGTATGTACATATCTAATTGTACCTACCTGGTACTACTGTACCTACTTAGCAGACTTAGTGGTTTGATATAACTGAATACTGAATGATTCATGACATATATAGAAATATAAGTTATAAGTCTAGTATATACTATAACTTATAGTATAAGTAAGTTTACTTATACTAGAATTCTCTTAAAATATTGTGAGGAATTAATGGTAGGTATTTTGAATATAATATTATAAAATATGTTCAACATTTTCACGTATCATTAACTGCCAAGGTTACAAGGATCTTGAACTTGTTAAAATATTCTCAAAGCATCCAATCTAAGCGTTAGAATTTCTGATAGACACCATCAAACTTTTAATTCGCTTTAGAGGATCTTGCTAAGACGGAATTTTATTAATAGCAAAAAAAACAAGACATCCTATCAAAATTATCAAATTTACGAACACTTTAGAATGAATCGAAACAAAAATATTATAATTGGTACGTAAAATTTATGATATAAATAAGCACATAGCAAAACTAATGTATAAATTATCTTTAAAATGCATTCATTCGTTAACATAATAATTATATATAGGAATAAACAGATGACACGTTATCTGCTGAATAAGTTTTTTAAAAGGTTTTTAAAAAATGTGCTTATTTTTCATTTTTGGTAGAGCGGAACTGAATTATGTCACGACGAGCTCCTTTTAATGAGTAGAAAGATAATGGGGACATAAATTAAAATTAATAGCTGCTAATAAAGTTTTAACTAACTAAACTATTTGGTATACATTATATTATTATTTATAATATAAATTAAGTCATGCACATATCTTTTTTACTAATGATATTTTGCAGTCAGAAATACAATATTAAGTAAGTTTGCGACTTAATAGATTTCGGTTTATTGAGAGCCTGTTTTTAAACTAAATAAATGTATCAGGACCGTGTTCCCGTAACCTACTGGTTACTTCATTGTGCATTCGGAAACACGGTGTTTGTGTATTTCTGTGAATAAATTCACTCAATAACCTTACGCTAATATCAAATGCAAGGTAGGTAAGGCCGGGGGCGCGTGCTCCGAAGCTAAATTACTACAGGTTTTGTTTGACGTGTCGAATAAAGAATTACCGTTGATAAGAATTTATTATAAGATGTACCTACTCAAGTAATAATTTTACATGAAATACATTTTTGACTACAATTACGTACCATTCTTTCAAATTTAGAAATGCCATTTGGTTAAAAAAATATATAGTTTAAGTAAGATCATATTTTAAAAAAGTAATCAATTATATTATTATTGAATATAATCTACGAAATCGGTAACGAAGGTTATTCTTCCAAACTTATCATTTTTTGGGACGTTTAGTGAAGTTCTTTAGTTGTTCTATAACAAAAACTGTTACCGTCAAAAGTGGACGCCACTGCCTTTTGCTATTCTATACATGCGCTTATAAAAATCATTTGTCTAGCGAAGAAAACTCATAAACATCGC